TATGTCCTCACAGGGCCAGCAAGTCTACATCAATATTTGACAGAAACTGTCAGTTGGTTTACTTTTCCTGATGAAATGTGTAGCGCTTCAACTACAGTTATTGTTGGTGAAGCTGGGAAACAGCCATGGTCACGCATGTCCTCCATCTTGAACTGCAGCTGGCGGTCCTTATTCTTCCTGGCATAGCAACTCGTGAACTAGTTCTGCTGCATCACCAGCCACAGTTGAGCATGGAAGAGAAAGTAATTGACTAGATAGGACCCATAAATTTGCACCTTATCACAGATGCATGGGCTACGTCCACACGTATGCAGGTATTTTGTTAAAATTCATTTTCTGTGTTTACACAGAAACGATGTCAAAGGTGTGTACCTTTATCTCCTTTTACTTTTGATTTCAGACTGTGTGCTGTATTATCATTTGTGGGCTTTTGATTGGCCAGCATTTCTTCACAGTTATGGTTAAAGTGTACCTCTGGACATACCCTCAGTCGCTGTCAGGCAAATATCATATTGGTGCATCCCTGACAGTTAAACTGTAAACTTTGATCTGTGCTTTTATAGGACCACTCGTCCATGGCTGCCCCTCTTCTACCTTTGCTGTGGAAGGACCCACAGTCAGCAGCACCACAGCATAAATACTGTTGTCTTACACCCTGCACTGTTTCTGTTTGTTGCAGCTGATGAGGACCTGTGCTGACCTCTTCCGTCTGGTGCCCTTCATGGTGTTTATCATCGTCCCCTTCATGGAGTTCCTTCTTCCCGTCTTCCTCAAACTGTTCCCAGAGATGTTGCCCTCCACCTTTGAGACGGAGTCCAAAAAGGTTTGCACACACACATACCCATACACACACTCTGCTGCCTGAGTGAACTTATAATAGGGTTCATTGGGATTATATAATCTCTCAGACGGGACTCCAGCAGGCTGCTGACTTGATCTAATCTTGATTATTTACTCTGAGACACGTGTCTGGCATTTATAAGCACAATGTAAACTCTTAAGTGTTTTGTTTTGTTTTTTAACATGTTTTAATCTTTGAACTTTTTATGCATTAAGTAGGTGCATGTCAACAACAACTGTAACTATTCCTATGACCTGTTCTGATATCGGTCTGTTTCTTAAACCGCATCATTATTTCTGATGTGTTAAACGCCGTCTTCCCTCGAGCACTGAAAGTTTCTGTTGTGTGTGCCCTGTTATCTCTGATCCTGCGTGGTTGTTCTGGAGCACATCTGAATGATTCAGAGATATGTTGTCATGCTGCTGGGCAGCTTGGAGGTGTCTGCTCTCTGAAACTTAAAGTTAACAATAATAACGATTAAAGAAAAGAGTAAAACAGCGTTAAAAGCAATGTCAGGGAAAGTCCAAGCCAAATGTAAACTCAACTTACTGTGATATACATTTTATTATTTGCAGTAAGCAAAATGCTGTCAAAGGGAAAATGTGGGCTTCCTTTTTATTGAGCTGTAAAAGCTTCTTATCCTAAACATTCTTCCTGATACCTATACTGAAGCATAAATTAGTTTCTCATAAAAAGCTCTATGGTTTCTGTATAATATATATAATGGGTGTTAAATGCAGCTAAACATAATCAATCCGAGACTGTGTTTTGTTTTGTTTCCCCCCCC